CTATCTATCTCATCTATCTCAGTCTGTTCATATCATCTATCTATCTATCTATCAATCTATTACCATGTCCATATCACACTTTTTATACATCATCTATCTATCTATTCATCTATCTATCTATCTATATCTATCTATCTATCTCAGTCTGTTCATATCTATCTATCTATCTATCTCAGTCTGTTCATATCTATCTATCTAGTACAATGTTCATACACTTTTTTTACATCTATCTATCTATCTATCTATCTCAGTCTATTCATATCTATCTATCTATCTATCTATCTATCTCAGTCTGTTCATATCTATCTATCTATCTATCTATCTATCTATCTATCTATCTATCTATCAATCTATTACCATGTCCATATCACACTTTTTATACATCTATCTATCTATCTATCTATCTATCTATCTATCTATCTATCTATCTATCTCAGTCTGTTCATATTCATTCATCTATCTATCTCAGTCTGTTCATATCTTCATTCATCTAGGCAATGTTCATACACTTTTTTTTACATCTATCTATTCATCTATCTATCTATCTCAGTCTATTCATATATCATCTATCTATCTATCTATCTATCTATCTATCTATCTCAGTCTGTTCATATCTATCTATCTATCTCAGTCTGTTCATATCTATCTCAGTCTGTTCATATCTATCTATCTATCTATCTATCTATCTATCTATCTATCTATCTATGTGTCTGTCTGTCTTGTGTGTCTGTATATTTATTCTTTATGTGTTTAAATATGGGCCACCTATCTATATACCGTCTGTGCATATATATTTATGTACTTATATATACATGTTATCTCTCTATCTCTGTCTTCCTCTGTCTCTGTCTCTTCCTCTGTCTGTCTGTCTGTCTGTCTGTCTGTCTCTCTCTCTCTCTCTCTCTCTCTCTCTCTCTCTCTATATATATATATATATATATCGCCATATAATGGATTTATTACCACTTGCTTCCTCTTGTAAAAGTATTATATCATTGATTCATTTTTCAAAACTGGGAATAGAAATAACAACCTAAGATATTTAAGAGTTTTTTTTTTTTCACTCCAAATTTTACCGACATTTTTCTGATTTACAAGTTGCGAACAATTCAGACATAAAAAAAAGAAAAGAACATTCAACAACATGTAGAATACTAAAAGACGAACACACAAGTATTAAGTTGAACGCAATATGAAATAAAAAATTGCGACACAAGATGAAAAAAAAATTTATAGATACGCCATTCTCTGTAGGGAAGCCTTTTGAAATATGTATGTTGATCGAATAACGATTAAGATTGGCCGCATTTTTCTCTGTGAGTCAGAAATAAGATACGAAAAGGATTTTTTTAATAACAATTCCCTGTTAAAGTATTACGTCAAAATCTTTTCCGTGGTGTTTCCAAAATCGTTTCCACTAAGGAATTTAAACATATAGAAACAGATACTAACTTATTGATACCAGATTTAGTGTTAAGATTTTTCTTAAAGATTTTTCGTTGTTCGAAATAGAAAAAAAAAGAAGTTGATGAGATCTTTTCAGGAAATTTAAAAAACTATATATTTATGGGTAAATGGCGTCACTTATAAGAGTTATTGTGTCAAAATGGTAAAAGCCTAGTAAGATAGGGACGAGAAAATAAAACAAAGTTAACTGCAACAAAGTCAAAAATGCACGGGCGTCTTATGCAATGAAACTAAAAGAAGTTTAATAAAAAAAACAATAGTATAAATACTTGTTCCTTAAAAAGCGGCAAAGAAAAAAAGCAACAAAACTTTGCAGAATAAGATGAAAACTGCAAAAATAATAATAATAATAATAATAATGATTAGAAGAAGAAGGTTGAGAAGGAAGAGGAGGAGAAGGAGGAGGAGGAGAAGAAGAAGGAGGAGGAGGAAGAAGAAGAAGAAGAAGGACGAGGACAAAGAAGAAGACGACGAAGAAGGTTGAGAAGGAAGAGGAGGAGAAAGGAGGAAGAAGAGAAGAAAAAGAAGGAGGAGGATAAGGAGGAGGAGGAATAATAATAATAAGAAGGTTGAAAAGGAAGAGGAGGAAGAGAAGAAGAAGAAGAAGAAGAAGAAGAAGAAGAACGAGGTGGAGGAAGAGGAGGAGAAGAAGAAGAAGAAAAATCAGGAGGAGGAGGAGGAAAAATAAGAAGAAGAAGAAGAAGAAGAAGAAGAAGAACGTGGAGGAGGAAGAGGAGGAGAAGAAGAAGAAGAAGAAAAAGGAGGAGGAGGAGGAAGAGGAGGAGGAAAAATAAGAAGAAGAAGAAGAAGAAGAAGAAGAAGAAGAAGAAGGAACCTTCCAATTAATTGATATGACTTGCTCTCAGGATCTCCAATGGCTGTAAAAAAAAAAAAATTAATTCCAAAAACTGTAAAATCAAAAAAAGACCTGCAAATAGAAGTAACAAAATGTAAAGACTTTCAATTGCGATTATCCCAGTCAGGTCACTGCTTATAATAACGAAAGGTACCGAAAATTATGTCAAATTCTTCAAAACATCATCACCTCAGAGCTACAAACCACTTTGTGCGGAACTACAGATCATTCACCAAACCTTCTCCATCTAAAAGAAACATCCCCAATATTCATCAATAAATTTTCTACAGTGCCCCTTTTACTCACAGACCTCGTAGGGGATTTCGTAATTTGGCGCTTAAAATTATTCTCTGGCAAAATTATACCGCACACAATAATAATAAAATTAATAATAATATTGATGGATTTGGTTATTTTTTACGACTTATCAACCATGTGCAAGTTATATAAAGTCAGAGAATATTTTTAGTTTTTAACATTTTAGCGGGTGTGGGGGTGTGATAATAATAATTTACTGATACAAGTTCTACTAATTAACCCATAGCTGGGGGAAAGAGGAATTCATACCATTCCTCAGGGTATTTGTACGTAAGTGAACATAACGAACCCGACTGGAATTGGAACTTGTCTCTCCGATTTCCATTTCGGAACCAATATCCATTACACCAGCCGCACATCCAAGCTTACAGCACCTGGTATTCCCAAGCGGTCACCCATCTAGACACTGAACAAGGCTCGATTTGGCTTAACTTCGTACGAGAACCGGTCGTTCAACTTGATATGAACGTAAGCCAATAATAATAAGAAGAACTTGCGTAACATTTTATCACAAGCGACTGTAATTTCGAAGAACAACTTAAGGTACACGTTCTCAAAAATATTCAAACTCCGCCCACCTTTCAACCCTTAAAAAGTATGAAGGTAATAACATATGCAAGTTATTAACGTCCCACCTCGTAGCAGCTTGGACAAAATGACAGAAGAGTTCCATAATTTTTTTACTAAATGAATTAATTAATTGCTCTTGGTAACTAATCAACTGACAAAAAATCTCAAACTGATCCCATGCACCTCACGTTTCAGCTGAATTCACGCTGACCATGTTTTATTTCTTTTGTCTCACGGTAATTAGCAGTACAACATTTTTTCTCAAGACAAGCGATGGTTATAAAAATGATTTGCATTTTTTTTATATATATTTTTTTTAATACTTGTATGTCATTTTTAAACATAATTTAAAGTAGCAAATATGCTGGCGAAATATTGTTAACATTATCAAACACCATATCTTTTTCTTTTTCTTTTTTTTAAATTAAGATCTTCTCAAATTGCTGTAATAATAATAACACAAACAAAAACGGTGCCTCCTTATTGACATGGCAGTCCCTGATGACTGCAATGTATCTTTTGAAGATATTCAAAAGTTGTCAAAATACAAGGACCTTGAAATAGAAATCTGAAAAATGTGGTATATGGGAACATCAACAATCCTGTTGTAGTTGGAGCCCAGGACTGGTTGGAAAAAGATTGCAGTAGACTAATTGAAGGGATTCCAAAGTCCATGCCTCAAGGAGATACAAAAATTGTTCTCACAAGTACAGCCTACACTTTGCGAAGGGCTTTATCTATGTAATTTAATTTTTTTTTTTTTTTTGTCAGTGGAAAAAAGCATGACGCCATTTCTAACCTTAGGTACCTGGGGACCCGGAAAGAAATGTGTAAACGACAGAAATCAAAGAAAATAAGAACTTGACCTGATATGCCACTGTGGAAAGACGCAAGAATCAGCATGGTCTAAAAATACCCAGGCCAAAAATGAAATGGGCAGTAGTAGCTGAGAACTCACAATGCATAGGTGTTACACCAAGTAAGACGGAGGTGGAGCAGGTCCCGGTGACAAACCACAGCGCCCAGCATCACCCAGTGTGGACTCAGACCTAGCCGGACAGATTAGTCCCTAAGCGGATTAAATGGCCCCCAGCAAACAACAAGAAAGATTGGCGCGATTTTGATGAAGACCTATGCATTATAATCCAAGGTACGTCTGCAGGTAACATAGACCAACGACTTCAAGCCATGAGTAGACTTAAGATCAATACAACCATGCATACCTAATCTATAACTTCGAATAGACTAAGTGAAGTCTTGATTGGTTGTTGTCTACTGGGGCAACTTATATAATTCACGTCCTAAGCTAGTGGCAAATTTTGTTCTTGGTGCGGGCCGAATACTGATCATATTCGATCGGGTCGCCCATCGAAGAAGTCTGTTGTTTATTTAGACCCGAAACTTCTAGTGACATGGGAGCAATAACACTGAAGACGCACCTAGATTCGACACTTAAAGGTGTATTTTAATAATACTAATAATAATAATGACATCAATAATTCCAGTTGTAGTTGGAGCCCTCAGAATGATTGGAAAAGAGCCCAATAGACTCTTTGAAGGAATTCTTGGTAGCGCATGCCTTAAATAAATATAAAAAAATTGTGCTCACAAGTACAGCTCACACCTTACGACGGGCTTTATCTATGTAAATTATGTGTTATTTTTTTAAAAAAACTGCATATTGGAAAATACCATGATGCCATTTGTGACCTTTAGGTCTTTGTTCGGGACCAGGAAAGAAATGAGTAGACACCAGAAATCAAAGGAAATACTACTACTACTACTACTAATAATAATAATAATTATAAAACTCAGTATGTAGAGTGGGACAAATATTTACACTGGAAAATATGCAACTTTTGCTGGCAACTGCAAAAAATTGGTATGAACACCACCAGACCCGGTTATGGAGATAGGAACTTTGTGTACTTCGATGCGGTGTGAAGGTTAGTAACCTTGTCACGCTGAATAGTGAGTTCGATCCTCACGGTATACCCCATACTTTCGGCCTTGTGCCACATCTAAGCTATGCTTAGAAAATCACTATGGAGATGGGAACTGTAACAATTTTATGGGACTTTATAATCCACACATACAGAAAAATCGAAGAATAATCGTCCAGACATCGGAATCAAAGACCACAAAAAAAAAAGAATGTGTTTTTTTATTGATATGGCAGTCCTTGCAATGGATCTTTGAAGATCATAAAAAAAAATATATCAAAATACAAGAATCTTTAAGTGGAAATCTAAAAAAATGTGGCTTATGTGGACATCAGTAATTCCAGTTGTGTTTGGAGCACTCGGGTTGACTAGAAAAGGTAGACTCCCTGAAAGCATTTCTTGTAACACATCCTTTGAGGAAATGCCAAAAAAAAAAAAATGTACTCATAATGTGCGTGATCTTATTTTTTTTACAAAAATAATCAGTGGAAAATGTCATTACGCCATTTCTGACCTTAGGTCTCTGGTTGAGACCCGTAAGCAAATGTGTGTAAAACAAAAATCAGATGAAATAATAACAATAATAATAATAATAATAATAATAAATTATGTCGGCTCTCAAATGCAGATTCTGTTATGGATATTACGAAACAATTGACCGTTTTGTATCAGGTTCCCCGGTATTAACATCTACGAAATAAAAGATTCAGCATGACAGGTTGGGCCAAAATCTGCACTGGAAAATCTGCGACTTTTATGAGAACGAACTTGTAAGAAATTAGTACGAACACCACCCAGATTCAGTTACAGACAGAGGAGAGGTAAGAATTTTTATGGGATTTCACAAAACACACACCAAAAAAAAAACATCGATCAATGTTGGCCGCGCAGACATAGTGATCAAAAACCACAAACACCGAATACGCTTTCTTATCGACGGTAGTCTCTGCAAACTTTAATGTATCGTTGAAAATCCTCAAAAAAAAAAAAAAAATTATGAAAATACAAGGATCTTGAAGTGAAAATCTAAAACAAATATGTCACATGAAGGCATCCGTAATTCCAATTGTGGCTGAGGCTCTGGGTTTGATTGGAAATGGGTCCAATAGATTCATTGAATAGATACCTATCAGCCCATGCCTCAAAGAAATGCAAAAATAAAATATATTCTCGGAAACATAGCTCACGCTTTTATCTTTATAAAATGTGTATGCTTTTAGGAAGTTTTATATACTTTTTAAAAATAGGTGCAGTGGCAAATGACATGAAGCATTTCTGACCTTAGGTCTCTTGTTGGGACCCGGAAAGAAATGTGTACACAACAGAAATCAGAAATAATTCATGATAGACTAATGGATAGCGGCTCAGATTGAGGAATCGGAGAGCCGAGTTCGAATTCCAGTCGAATCCATTATATTCACTTACGTGCTAATACCCTTGGGAAAGGCAAGAGTCCTCTTCTTCTATAGCCTTGGATGGCAACTTGTCTACCCCAGAAAGAAATGACAACCTACTGTGGGAAAAAAATCTGCCTCGTCAGTCATGTATCGTCTATAACGTATGGCACATAACTGACTGAATCGTTCTATTATTTTGGAGTTACAAAACATAGTAGTGACTGTAGGTGAACAACGACTCTCAAAGACAAAAAAAGGACCAGCAACAACAACAATAATAATAGTAATCGTAATAAAAATTAGACTAAACCCTGAATACTAATTTTGTCTGGTAGAACATCTTCTACAGAGTGGATTCAGAAAAAGTGTTGGCTTTGTGGTATGGCGGTGGGAAAATGTCACCTGTATAGGAAATATGGACTTGAAGACAACGAGAAATGATCCCGTCACAAGGTGATTAAAAACGTCTAAGTCATCACCTTGTTGAATTTCAGTATCCAAATAGACCGCACCCCTGAGACTACCAAATTAGACACCATTAAAAAAAAATCTCAAAAAACAAGAATATCCTAATCAACGTCAAAGGTCAATGAAATTGATAAACTTAAGAAATACGCCGGCCTCCGGATTGAAATTGTCAGCATATGAGATTTTCAAAACTCTATCGTAGCAGTTGTCATTGGGGCGTTGTTGTTTAGCTATAATGACACTAAGACGAAAGGTTTTACTGGAACTGAAAGAGAATGAAAAGATTTTAGAAGAAACCGGAAAACCAATCCTAAACAGGAAACGAAAGATAAACCTCTACACCTGCCCAAAAATCAACTGGAGAATAGGCGAATCTCTCTATCTATTTTAGTCTATTCATATCTATCTATCTATCTATCTATCTATCTATCTATCTATCTATCTATCTATCTATCTATCTATCTATCTCAGTCTTTTCTAATCTATATATCTATCACATATATATTACAATCAATGTCACAGCATCTCAGCTCAGAACTATCGTTCTTGACTTTTAGTAAGACGTTACTCAGGTCGACATATTCCGCTCGCAGCTATTAACAATAAAAACATTTCTAGTGCATTTAATTTTAAAGACTCATTTCCTGTCATTTTATCAGTAGTGAAAAAAGAACATGAAAACACAAGTTCTAAACGCAGTAATGATTGTTGTATGATCGTCCTTGAAAATGTGAGTATTGAAGTCGCTAGATGGCGTACTATTGTCTAGATATAAATCATAAATCATGATAAGTCGTTCTATTATTTTGGAGTTACAGAACATAGTAGCGACTGTAAGTGAACGACAACTGTCAAAGACAAAAAAGGACCAGCAACAACAACAATAGTAATAGTAATAAAAATTAATTAAAAAAAAAAATAGACTAAACCCTGAATACTAATTCTGTCTGGTAGAACATCTTCCACAAAGTGAAATCGGAAAAGTGTTGGCTTTGTGGTATGGCGGTGGAAAATGGACCGCACCCCTGAGACTACCAAATTAGACACCATTAAAAAAAAAATCCCAAAAAACAAGAGTATCCTAATCGACGTCAAAGGTCAATGAAATTGATAAACTTAAGAAATACGCCGGCCTCCGGATTGAAATTGTCAGCATATAAGATTTTCAGAACTCTATCGTAGCAGTTGTCATTGGGGCGTTGTTGTTTAGCGATACTGCCACTAAAACGAAAGGTTTTACTGGGACTAAAAGAGAATGAAAAGATTTTAGAAGAAACCGGAAACCCAATCCTAAACAGGAAACAACTCTACTCCTGTTCAAAAGAGCGGGGAGAAGTGTGAAGCAGGCGAGAGGTGAACCTATTGTCTTCAATTGAGGGAAAATAAATAAATGAATAGTAAATAACATTTTAGAGTTTAGGTGGAGATGTTAGAAGTATGGATTGGAAGAAGACCTTAAAAGGAACCTGAAATAAATAGATAAACCTCTACTCCTGTTCAAAAGACAGAGAACACATGATATCCATATGAGAATCGTGATATAGTAATTTGGGCACATGATGAGTTCTTAGGATTTATATGGAATGCTTCGATTATGTTCTGTCGTATATTACAATTAGATCTTAGTATGTTAAGGATTTTGTGACTACATATGATTATAAGATATTTCTTCTGCTATTCTTGTAATCATTTTATTCAGCTAGTGCATTTTAAGCCACTATGGTTACCACACCCCTCCACATCACAACTACTTTCATGTGGACATTCAAGAATAATGCAATGGTTTGCCTGTTGGACCGGAGATGTTGAGGTTTCCCCGTTCTTGTTCTCTCAGAAGGGGATTTGTTTTTAGGGTTACCTTCTTCTGGCCTTTGTCTAAAGAGTCAGGACCTACAAGGTGGTAGGGTGTTTGAATTCAATCACTCCTGCTATTTTATCCATAGCCTCCATTCACTAAAGATTCACTGTTGTTGCAATAATTGAAACAATATATATATATATATATATATATATATATATATATATATTGTGTATTTAGGCAGCAGTCCTTCATTTATACATGTTTCATCAAAGTCGATATACAAGTTACTACGATTAAGCTTTTTATTTAATTTTTCTTGTGTTCGAACAAATGTTTTCTTTTTGGAGACATAGTGTGTAGAAACGGCCACAATGTACTGTGTTCAGAAATTAAAACATCCCTATAACTCTAGAAGTATACAAACCCATACACCCAGTTAAAAAAGCAAAAATAAAATAATCCTTGATAATGGCGAAAATATAGACGAAAGCGCTTGAATTATAGAACATTTGGACACTTTTTACCTACCATGTGTCCAAAATAGAAAAAATTATATATATATATATATATATATATATATATATATATATATATATATATATATATATATACAGCTTCTCAGCATCTCAGCTCAGAAGGTTCTTTTCGTTCTTAACTGTTAGTAATACGTCCTCAGGTCGAAATATTCCGCTTGCAGCTATTAACAATAAAAACATTCCTATTGCATTTAATTTCATTATTTTTCAAGCAATATATTTTTCATTTTCAACGTAATAGCTATGAATATTGATTAAAATAAATTCGTTCGTTTTTTTTTTTTGTTTTTTTTTTTACAGAAAGGTTAACCCTTTACAAGGCCCGGGGGCCACTCGAGTTAGAGGCTGTTTGTGTGTATAGCAGTGCGAGATAAAAGTTAAGAATGTCGTGATCGGGGAAACATCCTGTTGGGAGGCATTTCCATAGTACAGTGGTTCGATGGAAGAAGCTACTGAAGCGCAACTTACTTCTCACCGATGGAATGTATGTGGGTGGTTTGCTACCATGTAAATGGCATGGAGTGTTCTTGCTGTGAAGGTTTGAATTGGCGCGACCAGGCAATGTAGTTCGTCTGAGCACTTTCCGTGGAAATTGTGGTAGAGCATTAAAAGTCTTGCTACACCCCGCCTATTGTAGAGACTTTGAAGTGTAATATCAATGATATATGAACAAAATAGATTGAGTTTAGCAAGGGCAAATTCGACGCAGCCCAATAATAACGTTATCTGTGCCCAAATAAAGAACTAGCAGGCTTCGCCCGCTCGCTATCGCTTCGCAAAGTAAGATATATTCACTATTTGAAATCTTTGAAAGAAAAATTTTAAATGAACATTTAATTCATAGCTTATTATAATTAAAGAAAGTTTTACAAATAGATGCCAACTTACTGATGGCTAAGTATAATGTAAATTTCAAACACTTTTCTGCACTATATAAGACGATATTTCTAAACAGAACTATTTTTGATTTGGAAATTAAAACAATCTTCGAATAAAAGAACACTAATAAAGAACAGTTAATTAATGAAATAAACTTTTTTTTAAAATCAATATGCAAATTAGTTAGGCCTAAAGAGTGATTTTGCCTAGAAGTAGATAATATCTAATACAGATATTGAGAATTAGCGTTTAAATTACTCTTTTAGGGTAATTTCGCATTTTCTTATCATCTCTCAGTTGCGTCTCTGTCCTTGGACAGAGTGCGCTCACCGGCTTCTCTGTCAAAGGACAGAGGCAACTGAGGAAAATTATACTGAAGAGGTGCCCAGCCCTGGGGAACAGCTGCCCGAGGCCGCGCCCTCCCATTGCACAAGAGGGACCGGTGCTCGCACCGAGGCCAGTGCAACCGACGGTTGCGGGGGCCGAGGGCAATTTTTGTCCCTACCCGGGTGTACGCGCTCGGGTGCCCACATTAAACCGACCTTGTGTCACATCATGTTTTAGTGGGGGAACGAGTAAATACCAGCGTGTAAATTACTCTTTTGGGGTAGTTTAACGTTTTCTTATCATCTCTTAGTAGCGTCTCAGGGGCTTCTCTGTCAGAGGACAGAGGGGGAACCGAGGAAAATTATACTGAGAGGTGCTCAGCCCTTGGGAACAATTTTGACCCTGCCCGAGTGTACGCGCTCGGGTCCCCACATTAATCTGACCTTGTGTCACATCTCATTCTTGTGGGGGAATGAGTAAACAACGTGTAAATTACTATAAAGGAGATCTAAGGCTTTTTAATCTCAGAATTCGTGGGAGAATTGAGCTTTCGCATTTATTCATATAGATTCCATGATTTAGGCTTTACTTAATTAGCTATTATATTTCTCTAACTCTTCAAATATTGAATGTATAACTAATTCTAATTTCTATTTTCCCATCTTTACACTATATAAATTTTATCTTATAAATTGTCTCCTGTTCTGTCACCCATGAAATGAAAATAATTGTTTGCACGGAAAGTAAGGACCTACGTACATCAAATCACCTTTAAGTAGCAGCAGAAGAATTATCGTTGAACTTTTAAAAGGTAATCTTAAACATTAATTCAATACTTAAATGCAGCGATTAATTTTGAGTTATTCTGTAGTTTATTGATGCATCTATTCCTCCCTAGCAATTGTGATGATGGCCAAACCAACAGTCCTCCACATAAGCTAGCTTAAATGCCACCCGATAGGGCGGCTTTTAAACTAGCTTCAAATTTTAGCTACCTTATTGCAATTTTGGATACAAAAGGAAAATAAGTTACTCCTCGTGAACGATGAAAGAAACGATAATGGCTTGTATAATATATTAATATATATTTTAACATCGCATAATCTGGCAACCTTGAATCTGATCTCAACGAAAATCGTTCCCTGTGCCTAACTTTTCTAGGGCTTTTGAATGAGCTAGGAATCTTTGGAATTGGACCAGTGGGAGCGGAGGAGTTGTTTGGACGCACAAACACAGATACACTGTACTTTATATATAAGATAATTTTATATAAGATAATTTTATTTTCAAGGTATCTTAATATTTCCATATCTCAAAATGGTGATTTTTTTTTTTAATCAAACCACCCTATACAAAATAAGAGAGCCACTAAAACACAAGGGGTTCTTTTATGTGTCATGTACCCTCAGGACGTAAGCGATCATGGCTCTCCTTAACTTCCATTCGCTTGTAGCTCTTAATTAAATTTGTCTTTCTGTTATTTCTCATAAACTCTGTTCCAACATTCATTTCCTCAAGTTTTCTAAGTATGTTTTGCGTTGTCTTCCTCTGTTTAACTTATCCTCTATCTGCCCCGTGTGTATCAGATTTTCCAAGTCCTCTTTCCTCATTATGTTCCCCAGAAACTTCAACTATCTCTTCCTTAGGTTACGTATAAATTTTCTTTTTGTTTCTATTTTCTCCAAAATTCCGTTTTTGCTCACATTTTTGGCCCACGTTATCCTTAGAATCATTCTGTAGAACCAGATTTCTGTTTCTTCAAGTCTCCTCTTCATCTTTGAGATCATCCAGCCCTCACTTCCATACAGGAGGGCAGATATCACATAACTGTTGAGTATATATCCCAATACAACTTCAGATTTCAGTGTCACTATTACCGTCCTCTGTTAAAATACTTCCCAAATTTCCGCATTTGTTTGATGATGGTATCTCTGATTT